AAACTCTGAAAGGGACAATGAGGTGGAGGTGGATGAGGAGAAATAAACAAATAAGACGGGTGAGTACGATTGGGAGGCAGAACGATACAAGTAAAACGTAGCGCAATGGTTGAGTCGCGGTCACCGGCGTGCTTGGAACCCTAGGGTCTGAGCTCTGCCACCGCTACCCAACTTTGATCGTTCAGTATTAGGTCTAACTCCTATCGGGGCCTTATTTGGTTCACCTCTCCAAGTCCCGCGGGACTTATGGTTACCGGTTTGCATCATTGAACAGCAGCAGATCCTCGTGACTTTGGGGTTCACCCTTCATCTGCTGTTCATCACACTAAAGTGTGTAGTGAGTGAATAGCAGCTCTTTGCGGTAGAATGAATCAGAACAGAACGGAGCTGTGAGGAAGTGGAAGAGTATGAATGGACACAATGAACAACCATCGACTAGCTGTTGGCGGAATTTTCGGCCTTCTACATCGTTATTACTGTGGATATTTTGAATGCAATTTAGATTGAATAGTAACAATAGGTGGAACGTGGAATTTGTTAGGCAAACAATCGTGCACGAATCATCATCATCATCGTACAGCGAACTTCACTGATCGCTGCCAAACTCACAATGCATACAAGGTTAGTGGTCAAATTTAAGGTGGACAGGGATTGGACCTATTTTGACGGAGGGGGAAGATGAACCTATATGGTCAACACACAGAGAGTGCAATATCGAGCTCTGCATACATACCGTTTCAGGCATTCTGACCTGATAAGAAACGATAACAAGAACGCCATTGCTGTCGGTTCGCTGCCACATCCTTCAATGTATCCAAACAACCGGTTGTGGATTCTTTCGGACCCCAACCTGGAAGGCGAGAGACACCTACTCTATCTAATTGCTCTGTGCATTTCTTCGTGCCTCGTCTCTACGTCATCTGCAATATGTGCCCTAGCCGGCGAAGTCTACTAATCTGAATTCGGTGTACTGGCAGGTTTATCCGCGATAGACTCCCAAACACACGGTGGCTTACCTCCACGTTACGACCCCTTTCGCTCCATCCCACGTGAGCTAAACTGCGTAAACACCGATAATCAAAAACCTCTGGTCGACAGATATCTTCTACTCGCAAATTCAAGGTCTCACAGCCACGAAGCAGGACTGAACCAACGCTAGCACAATGTAAACGACCTTTCAACTTAAGTGAAATGTCGTGTCTATGCCAAAGGTGTTTCAGTCCTGCGTATGCTGCTCGAGCGGCTATCTACTTTGCACGAAGTTCATTGATTATTTTTTGAGCACAGACAAAAAGATGCTACGATTATGAACAGACAGAATTGTGGTAAAAGAGGAGTACAGGAACATGAAAAATCGAGTTGGTGGCAGGCTTGCATTCGCTCTACGATGCCCCGGATTCGTGATTCTCCATGTAGTCCGCCAGTTTGCATTGCCTGTGGATGGCAACACCATCGAAATGGCGGAATACGTAAACTTTCTAAGAAATTCGTAGTCATTTTGTTGCACATAAGACACGTTCATTTATACTGGGGTAGTTTGATTCGGACGAAACCTCCGACCACAGGAAACACCCTCCCTCCCTGGCCCCACTAAAATGAAAACAGATACTGGAAGCCCCAGACTAGTCAGATGACTATACCGAGGAGATTGAGATGACGACGGAACACAGTGGGTGTATAAGGGATGCATCAGTAAGTAGTATAAATCAATGGGAACAACCAAAGTGATCCTTTGCGAAAGAGTAATCCTCGTTCGAATACAACTTTATGATACACGTTACAAGTACAAATTGAGACCTTTGTGTCGATCAATTTGATCTGGGCAAATCAAATAGATGAAGGATAATTTAATCCACGTGATGCGTCTGAAGTTAGAGCCAATCAGGACGACTGACACCAATCCAGTCAACCAATCGTCACATTTATGGTATGGTATTGGTATGATTTGCCGTACAGTAAACGAATTGCACCACACTTTGAATTATATATTATTATTCACTATCCGTGAAAACACTAGCCTGCCCAGTGGGGTTATTGGAAATGAAATTATTCGACAAGCCTGTATCTAAGGCAATCCATGTTTCAGCTGAGTTCAGTTTGTTCAAAAATTAATCATGCACTTATGTGCGGCGATTCCGGATTTCTGTTGAAGAGAAAATAGAGAATTCCGGTGCACTAAGGTTGTAAAGAAATTGAGTGAATCCACGAACGCCCCTTTTTATGACTCTCAGTGTCTTTAACCACCGGTTACGATCATCCCTAGGTCCCCAACCAGGGAGTCTAACAGAACCCATGGGACCGAGTCTACTGATTAGGGTTTTCATACTCTCATGCCCGGTCTTGGTTTGACCACCCTTGGCTTTTTTCCACGCACTACCTGCTTCGGTTAACATCACTCGTCGTAGCAACATATTTGGTGACATGCGTAACGTATGTTACAACAGCGCAGTCCATTGGAGGTCGACCGCGAATACCTAAAACTCTACACCAAACTTCAGCATTACCAGCATTACCACCAGACTCATGCAATGCTGTGTAGAAAGCACCCTTCGAACACCGACAGTCTATCTTTATCCTGTTTACTTAATGGCCAAGTCTATGCACCACAGAGCAGAACTGATCGAACTGCTGCAGCATCCACTCAACCCTTCACGGACAGCCGGATGTCGCGACGGCGCCGCAAATGTCTCACGTTGGCAAATACCAATGGAGCCTCCTGTATGCACTCTGACACTGTAACCGTGACGCGTCCAGCGAATGAGATGTAGCTGCCCAGAGAGAAAAATTAATCACCTTGTTCTAATACTTTTTCAATTACTGAGGTTAGGAACTAGACCAACCCAGTCGTGTAGCAATATTTTGAGCTTTGCAGGTGCGAAACGCATATCGAACAGAGAGAGCTACACTAGCACTCGAAATATCCAGAACAGCTTGGAAATTATCGGGATCTTCACTTAGCAGTACAATTTCGTCTGCATACTCCCGGAGATAATGAACGCGTCATAACGCAACCATTCTTTATTGCTCTGGCATTGCTGAGCTCACAGCCTGTTGCGAGCGTCTTTCCTAACGTACCGGTGAAACTCATTCATAGAAATACCTACAGATACGTTCCAACTCACGGTTACTTTACCGAATTCAATTTGAGATGTTCTATTCCTCAGCCCACTCCATGAATACGCATTTGCTTCCGACACTGATTCGTATTTGTGCGTTTAGCTCACTCTCGGGCGGAGATTGAGCTTCCACTTGCGACACCGATCGCCGAATTGTTTAGTACTTGTTTGTCATCTGGAACGATCTCCGATTGTTGGAGGTCAACCAGGATTAGACCAATCTCAAAGAAAGGATCATCAAAGTACCGTCCTATTGCCTGCACATCTGTGTTGCTGA